AGCGCAGCTGAACTCCGCTGGGGTCGCAGACTCATTACCAAACTGGATAGATTGCATCCAGACCAGGTGGCTTCACAGGTGTCATAGCCACAGGCACCTAGGAGACTACAGGTGGGCGATCTGGTCTGGGCAAGGAACTATGGACCTGGACATCTCTGGGTGACCGCAGTGGTATGCAAGGTCACTGTCATACGAAGTGGCCCTGGACGATGGTCGTGTGTTAAGGCGGCACATCGATCAACTATGCTGGAGGCTTCCCAGCAACACTTCCGCTCCTGGCTCTGCTCTCGGGGGGGAGGAAGACCACGATTACGATTGTGGACCACAGTCTCTCCGTGAAAGTGGGGATACACTGGCTCCAGAAGGGGTTCTTCTTACGAGGCGGCTCCTGACTCGGCACTGGGTCTATGGATTTGGCCAGTCAACCGGCACTACAGGCTTCTCCATCTGCTGGTCTTGGGCTCATGGCACAGTGCTCCCAAGTGGGGTCCATTGTGGACTCGGGGAATTCCACCCCACCAAGGAACTCTGGTCTAGGGTTACAGGCGCTGGCCAGTCAATACAATGGAGGGTCTCCGGATTCAAGGGGGCATCTACGTCCTGGTCTGCCAAGCCTGGCAGGCGAGCTCGCAGGCCAGGTGCCCACAACAGCTCTAAGAAGATCAGAGCGAGCAAGGGGTCCCCCCAAGCATTTACAAGACTATGTAAGATTCTTGTCAATTCCGGGACAGGCCTAATAGTCTTGTGGAAAAATAGAATGTATGTAAGGGAGGCTTAATAGTTTTCTTGAACTAAGAGCACACTCAGAGTTGGGGTGTTTTGTTTGATAGTATTAAACAATATGTGGTATTCTTGTAAATATGAGAAATGTCATGACTGGGCTGCCTGCGTGCAGGCATCACTGTGTTAGAAATAACAACATGCTTAATTGAACACATGTATATGTATGCTGCTATAAAAACATTAAGTATTCACTTATTGTTTTATCCAAGGGGGGAGGGGTGTTATGTTTTGGACCTGCTGAATGACTCAGCAGGCTCAGGAGGCTGCAGAAGGCCCGGGCAGACCATGTGATTGCCTGGGATCAGACAGGCTGTCTCCAGCCTTGTGAGCATGTGCAAGGTGGGAGACTAGCCTTGCATTGATAGGCTGATGCTATCCCTGCAAAGGGAGTATAAAAGGGGCAGCGCCATTTTGTTTGGTGTTCTGTTCTGTTTGTAATCTCAATAAAGAAGTTGTGTTTTGTTACTCCTGCCTCGCTTCGAAGTCTCTGATTCTAAAACAGAACATTAATAATAATAATAATAATAATATTAAAAATCTATGTTTGCGTAAAAAAAATAAGGTTGGGTAAGATCAGGGGTAGGCAACCCAAAACATTCAAAGAGCCACTTGGACCCGTTTCCCACCAAAAACAAAACACCGGGAGCCGCAAAATCCTTTTGATATCTAAAATGAAGATAACACTGCATATATCCTTTTTTACCTTTATTATAGGTGTGTGTGTGTTTGTGTGTATGTGTTTGTGTGTGTGTATATGTGTGTGTGTGTGTGTGTGTATGTACACACACACACATATATATACACATACATACACATACAGATACGGGTAAAAAAAGGATATATGCAGTGTTATCTTCATTTTAGATGTCAAAAGGGTCTCTCTCTCTCTGTCTGTCTGTCTCTCTCCCTCCCTCTCTATCTGCCCTTGGTCTGCCTGCCACTCCTCTTCCCCCACTCTCTTTCTTTCTCTCTCTCTCTTTCCTCTCTCTCTCTCTCTCTCTCTCTCTCCCTCCCTCCCTCTCTCTCTCTCTCTTTCTCTCTCTCTCTCCTATCTGCTGCTCACCTGGCAAGCTTCAAGCTGTTGTCCAACAAGCTCAGGGTAAGCAACCTCGTCTCTTTTATGACTCATGGACTTCAACTCCCAGAATTCCTGAGTCAGCCTAGCTGGGCTAGCTACCTCTCTCCTGCCCTTCCTGCTTCCTGCTTCCTGCAGAGACGCAGCAAAGGGAGGAGCTCCGTCCAGAAAGCTTTTCAGCTCCTCGGAGAACACTGTGAGTGCAATCTTTTACACACACATACACACACACACACACACACACACAGAGAGAGAGAGAGAGAGAGAGAGAGAGAGAGAGAGAGAGAGAGAAGCAGGGAAGCGCAATTGCCTCTCTCTGTCTCTGTCTCTCTCTGCAAAGGCAGAGGAGGCTGGGAGCCACTGGGGAAGGCTCAAAGAGCCGCATGCAGCTCCGGAGCCGCAGGTTGCCGACCTGTGGGTAAGATGTAAGGGGTAGAGCTTTTATATCTTTAATCCCAAAAGAAGATCAAGATCTTACCTTACCAAAGAATTATAGACCTATATCTCTTTTAAATGTAGATTATAAGATTTTTGCAAAAATCTTGGCTAATAGGCTTATGAGGGCTTTGCATCAGGTTATACATAAGGATCAAACGGGTTTTATAACTGGAAGGTACATGAAGAATAATGTCAGACAGATTATTAACTTATTAGAATATCTAGACAAAAATAATCAAGTTCCTGCAGGATTGATATTTCTAGATGCTGAAAAAGCTTTTGATCAACTGAATTGGCAATTTATGTTAAGATTAATTGAGAAAATGAACTTTGGAGAAAAGATTTTACAAGCTCTGGGTGTTATTTATCAAAAACAAATGGCACAACTTATTGTTAATGGGGTTTATCAGAGGTTTTTACAATAGAAAAGGGGACTAGACAGGAATGTCCATTGTCACCACTGCTGTTTGTTTTAACTTTGGAAATATTGTTGATTAAAATTCGAGAATCACAGGAAATAAAAGGAATAGAAGTTAATAAAAAAGAATACAAATTAAAAGCCTTTGCAGATGACTTGGTGGTTACCCTGTCCCAACCTACTTATTCCGTAGTAGAGTTATTACAATTGATACACCAATATGGATGGGTTTCGGGTTTTAAAATTAATAACAACAAGACTAAAATATTACCCAAAAATATGACTAATTTGGATAAGCAGACTTTGGTTAAGTTGACAGATTTTGAGGTTGTTGATAAGGTAAAATATTTGGGGGTTATTTTATCTGTTTCTAATGTAAAATTGTACAAAAATAATTATGAAAGGTTATGGGTCAGGATACAAAGAGATTTGAAAAACTGGGAGAAACTGCAATTATCCCTTTTGGGAAGAATTGCGGTGATTAAAATGAATGTTCTGCCAAAGTTCCTTTTTTTATTTCAAATGATACCTATCTTAAAGAATGAGATTAATTTAAATGAATGGCAGAAAGGTATCAATAAATTTATTTGGGCGGGGAAAAAAACCAAGAGTAAAGCTTAAAATAATACAAGACATTCGTGAGAGAGGTGGACTCAAGGTACCGAATTTGAAACTGTACTATGATGCGGTGGTTTTAACATTAATTAGTGATTGGGTTAATTTAACAAATGTAGAAATACTCCTCTTGGAGGGTTGGGATTTATTTTTTGGATGGCATGCCTATTTAATTTTTAATAAAAAAGTTGATAGGGTTTTTAAATCTCATATTATAAGGATTTCTTTATTTCGGGTTTGGAGGAAATATTATAGAAGTGATTTTAAAATCCCATTATGGGCTATACCTGGGCATGCGATAGAGGGGATAAGGAGAGGAGTTAAGATGGATGGTGTTTCTTACGCACAATTACTTAGATGGGATGGTAAAAATTGGCAGTTAAAATCTTTGGAAAATCTAGCACAAGAAAATATTAAATATTCATGGTTTCAGTATAGACAAATAGTGGATAGATGGAAGTTGGATTGTAATGTGGGTTTACTTAGAGAAGATGAAAATTTTCTTAAACAAGTAAAAGACCAAAGACGAACTCATATTAAGAGAATTTATGGGGTGCTAGTAGAATTGGATTCAGAGGCAGAATTAATTAAAGATTGTATGATCAAATGGGCACAAAATTTTGGTGAACCAGTTCTACTAGATACCTGGGAAATTATTTGGGTGAGGAATGTCAAATTTACACAAGCCCAGAATTTAAGAGAGAATTTTTATAAAATGTTTTATAGATGGCACCTTGATCCACAAAAAATGTCTCGTATGTATCCTGACTTACAGCCCAAATGTTGGAGATGTGGTTGTTTGGATGCTACTTATTATCATATTTGGTGGTCGTGTAAAAATATAAAAGCCGTTTGGATTAAGATATGGTGGAATATTCAAAGAATTTTTAGAAGGAGGGTAAAATTTACCCCACAATTGTTTTTATTAGGTATTGTTACTGATTGTGATATTAAAGAGATCATATTGATGTTAAATTTAATTACAGCCGCAAGGCTGTTAGTAGGGCAATGTTGGAAGAAGGAATCTTTGCCTACTTTGCAAGAGTGGTTTTTTAAAGTTTCTTATCTGGCGGAAATGGCAAAGATTTCGGCTTTCTTGAAGGATCAATCGCAGGAGAAGTATTTTGCCGTATGGAAAAAATGGATAGATTTTATACAATATAAGTTGGATATTAAAAAATACTATTTAGTTTTTCAATAACTTATATTTAAAATTTAAAATATTTTATAGATTTTATTCCTTTTCTTTTTTTATATATTTTCTTTTATCTTTCTCTTTTTTCTTTTTCTTTAGTCTTTTTTTTTCAAGTATTATTTTTCTGGTATTTATGTTTTTTTTATACATATATTATTGTTAACTATCTTATAGTTTGTTTATTAATGTATTCAGTATTTAGATTTATTCATGGTTTATATTTTTTTTTTAGATTATTGGAAGAAATTTTAATTAAGCCTATGTTCAGCTCTGGGAAGGTCGGGGGAGGGAATGGGAGGGTTGGGGAGGTTTGGGGATGGGTTGTTTTGTTTTTGTAAAATTTTAAAAACTTAATAAATATTTACAATAAAAAAAAAGATGTAAGGAAAAGAAAAATTACAATCTTATTCTCAAAAGCAATCGTTATTATCTTGAAATACATCATTATCTATTTTTACTATGTGTTTTACTCACAGTATTGGAAAGGAGAATTGAGATTTTCTAGCCTGAAGCTTGAAGATTCAGGCATGTATCAATGTGTAGCAGAAAATATACATGGAATGATTTATTCAAATGCTGAATTAAAAGTTATTGGTAAGTGTATTTTACTACATTATTATAAAACATTTTAGGAAGAAAAAGCAATAACTGCATTCCTATTAAGTTTCATCAGTAGTACCTACCAACTAATAATATCTGTGTTCAATTCTAACTGCTATTTTTGAATTTTAAAGTAGTTTAAATTCATTCAACTATTCAAACTATTAGGGTCAAAGGAATAGCTCACCTTAAATATGTTTAGAAGGATCTGAATATTTTGAACTACAGGTAGATCACTTAGCAACCATTCAAAGTTCTGCCAGCTGCCAGCTGGTTATGTGACCACATATCAGGTGCTCAGCAACCAGCCTGCATTTATGGCTGTTTGCATTTTCCTACAGTCACATGACCATGTTTTATCTTTTTGAACAATTTGAATATTTTTTTGCATTGTGGCTTTACATTTAAATATAAATGTGTGATAGTTTATTGCATTTTATGCTGTAGGATTGTTCCACTGAAAACAAATTGATTCCTCATTAGCTTTACACAAACTCCATGCTTGATTTGAAGAACTCTATTACATACTTAGAAGTTTGTGGATTGTGTAAAATGTATACAAATGCTTATTGTACATTTGCATAATTTGTAGTATTTTAAATTGTTATTGTGTTATCTAATTGGTGTAAACTTCTTTAGAAATATTTGAAGAATTAGAATGAAACTTGTAGAAAATGTTGTAGCATATATTATTTTAAGATAGGGAAATGTAATTATTGTCAAGGTACCTTCTTTCATGCTTGGTGGCTATGCCCTGAAGTGAAAAAATATTGAATTAAAATACAAGGGTGACTACAAGACTTAATAAAATGTCAAATCGAATTAAATCCGGAAACATTTCTCCTTGGAATACTTAAAAAGAAATTTGATAAGAAAATAAGATATATAATTTTATATATACTAACTGCGGCAAGAATTGCAATATTGGAAGGAACGCAACATACCACCAGAGGGGTTGATTATTGAGAAAATTTATGAATGTGCCGAGATGAGCAAACAAAAATTGGAAATATACATAAGGTTATTGTGCAAATTAGGTTATTGTGGGTTAGATTGAATGTACATAGTGTATATATTGTATAGAATGTAGATCCATAGTATATAAAATGACATAGTCTGCTGAATATGTACTGTATAAAGGAAAATGTTAATAATAATAATAAAAAAGGGAAAAAAAGAGAGGGACATACAGATAGACAGATTTTTTTTCTCTCTTTTGATTCTAGTGAGTTACAGTAAGGATGGAAAACTTCTGTCAACCAATAGTATTTTAAGTATTGGTGTTGATTTTAGTCTGCTATACCAAATATATCTTTTGTTTCTTTTGAGTCTTTCAACATGTACGTAGAAGAAATACATTTCTTCTACATTTCTTACTTTCTGGACTTGATTAAATATGTTTTCTTAAGTAGAATTAATGCATAAAATCATTTATTTACTTAAACTCTCTATTTTGAGAATAGATGAAACTATAATGTCTTACAAACACAACATTATGGTTCAACTTTATTTTATTCTGCAAAATCTCTCTAGGTTTTCAGTACAATTGACTATTATATGCTATTGGAGTGTCTTCAATAGACATAGGAGTACACTGGTAGAATTGCATTGTAAAGTATACATGTCTAATAATTATGTTTTTCTTCACAGTTTTACCTCCAACCTTCGAATTCTATCCAATGAAGAAAGAGGTTTTGGCTGCAAAAGGAGGGCAGGCTATAATTGAATGCAAGCCTAGAGCAGCTCCTAAGCCAAAAATTACCTGGAGTAGAGGGACAGAAATTCTTAGAAACTCAACCAGGTTAATATTACTACTGAATATAGTAAATAATCTATAAAGCATTATTTGAGAGTTCAGTATCAAATTAAAAAAAACTGTGTTTCTGCATGGTTTGGCCTGAATATAAGTGTGCCACAGAAATGGGAAATTTTGTTAATAAAACAGAAATTGTTTTAGGCTAGTCATATTGGTCTTCTTCATAGTTAGGTTGTGTGAAGAAACATTGTTAAAGGAAAACAGGTTCATGCATTTTTTTCTTTTCTTCAAATTCTGCATCTCCATCAGTATAGCTAGTTTATTCGTTCGAGCTTTGTTTATTGCATAGCTGCAGCTTTTTCACACACCTCCCCACATACGCTGTGTCTCTCTGTGTACTGGGATTAAAACAAAGCAAACCCTTCTGTGTCCTACTGGTGTCATCTGGTTCCTAGAAAGTGTTTTTTTTTTCTCCAGTAACAGTAGTTCAGCATAAGCTAGATAGTTGCCAAGATAAAAAGTGCCAACTTTTTGCCCCCATTGAACTGCTGTGTAATAGTGGAAGATACGTTTGTTTTGCATGGGCAATTGGGTAACTCTCCCCCTTTCCTGGAGTTAAACAGCACAAAGTGAACAAATGGCAATGATTATTATAGGTATGAAAAGACTATGTATAACTGGCAGGAGAGAAAAAAAATGTGGAATGTACAATGCCATGCTTCCATTTTCATCCACATTTTCTCATTATTCTATTACTGATTCTCAATTTTTTTAACAATTTCTTTTTTAATAGGATACATATATGGTATGATGGCAGCCTAGAAATTATTAATGTTACAGCAGCAGATGGAGGCAATTACACCTGCTTTGTGGAAAACAACAAAGGGAAAGCTAACAGTTCTTCTGCTCTTATAGTCACAGGTAATTCTCAAACTTCTCTACATTCTCAAAGTTAAGTATAGCATGGACTTCAGATTACGTATGTTGAAATCCTTTTCAATGTTCTAAATAAATCTGGGTTAGTTTGATAAGCCTATTAATTTAGTCATTGTATATAACAAAATAATATATATTTCTTATATCTTGTCTCCAATTTGGATTACTGACTTTTTGTATGTGGATCACTGAGCTTACACTTTATAGAAGAGTAGCTGTATTATCTAAAGCAGTAGTCCACAGTCTTTGTGGCTTGGTGGCCTGTCTGTGGGGGGAGAGCAGACCTGGGCTGTGTGAGTGGTGGGCTGGTGTGTACACACGTGGATGCAGCCCTTGCACGAGTGGCAGGCCAATGCATAGGTGAGCAGCTTGACTTGTGTGAATGATGGGCTGGCGTGCATGTGAGCAAGTACCCTCCGGCCCACTGCTCTGCAAGTTGAGCTGCACATTCATGCACGCTCTGGCCAGCACTCTGAATAGCCTAATTCTGAATAGGCTACGGCCCAGTAGTGGGCCATGGCCTGGGGGTTGGGCAGTGCTTTTTTGTAAAAAAAAAAAAAAAAAGTTCCAGAACTCACACACAGCTCTGGCTCCAGTCGAAAGCCCTTAATGGAGTGGGGGGGACCACTTTAGGGAGCTTCCAAGGTGCAGATCACATGAGCAGTGTCAGCTGACAGACACCATTGCCGCGGCTTTTGAGAGGGCATTGGTTCGGAGCTGGCATGTCTTCTGCCACCTCATCCTCCTCCACCTCTGATGACACAGAGGCTTCCTCCAGAGCCAGAGTGACCAAGGCAGCAGCAGCACTGCTGCTTTGGGAGTGCGCCTGGTCCCTCGAAGAGATGCACTCCAGGAGTCAGTCCTGGTCCCTGGTGGCCAACACAGGGGTGAGGACAGGTGGCGGTGATGGGGGGAGCCCCATAAACCAAGGCAGAGAAGAGGGTCTACTTTCAGGGTCGTGGAAGTGCTTCCAGGTTGACCTTCAATGCCCCCAATTTCCCCAGGCAGCTTCCTTTCACCGAACCAGAGTTTTACTCGCACTGGCAGCTTAGAAGGAGCCAGTTCTTCTGTTCAAAAAAAGGTGCCGGAATGCTGTTCCATGCATTCTATGACAAAAAAAGCACTGGAGTTGGGGGACCCCAATCTAAAACATTCAGCAAAGAGTCTTGTGACAATTGACACATTTATTAGAGCATAAGCTTTCTTGAGCTATAGGCTGCTTCATTAAATGCATAGTTACTCATATATTAAAAGTTAAAATCAAGTACATACATATTTATTTGTATATATAAGTGAGCGAGGAAGAATATTTTATATCAGATACATAATAAAAATGATTTGTATTGGAGTACAATTTGCACTAGTCAAATAGAAGTGGTTAATTATTTCCTCAGAGTAACACATATCATAACATTATAGAGTAATATTTTATATAACTTTAAGCTAGATCTGATTCACATAATTTTAAACATGATTAAGTTCAAATCATAGGCACCTAATCATTTAACTAGTGACTGTTTATAGCACTATTATTCAAATAATATTGGAGTAATTCATAGAAGTTACTTTAAATATTATTGAGGAATAGGAAATATTTTGTGCACATTCTTTATATTACTAAGAATAGAATCTTATACAAAAAGTAGCAATTTGAGTATGTTATTTTTAGGTAAATTCATTTAATTCTGAACTTCCATGTTATACTAATTACAATGCAGATACTCAACCTGTGATTTATTTTTGTACCCTGCAGTAAGTTTACATGGTACTAACATGACTTCACACCACCAAATTTGGTTTGAGGAGGATTTGAATATAATCTAGCCTTCGTTTTTATTGAAGAAATATTACCTCTGTTGACACAAATGCAAATTTTCTTCCACACTTTATTAAAGTCCCAATGAAGATTAAATTTCTAGAAGTAACCTCTTGCAAAATTTTAAATATTTGCTGCTTGTATTTGCTGCTACTAGTCTCAGTTGTGATCTGGAACATTATTCTAAAAGAATTCCTGACAAGAAATTGGTAATTGTATGGTAAATTCACATGATACTCCCACTGCTGGATCATTCTCTCATCAGTAGGATACAAATAAGGTATATTATTGGGGGGCGGGTCCCCAAATAGCTCTCTTATGAATAATTTTTTGACACAGGTTGTCACAGTAATTTTTACTTTTAATCCTAAAATTGGCCTAGAACTGTAAACATTATCCCTTAAAGGCTAAGTAAAAACAATTTCTACCTTTGTTCAGAAAATGAAAATTACCAGAATTTGCAAAGTATGAAAAGAAAGACCTACCAAAACAACCACAAATTTTAAAAACTTTTTACTTATATCTCTTTTGCTATTTAAATACATAGTCATCCATTGTAAAGTTGTATATTTTTCAGATTTTAAGTAGATCAAAGCCTCAGTTGTTGTATATTTAATGATTTGCTAATATATAACCACAATTTTTTTTTCCTGTTAACTGCAAAGCTGCAACAAGGATTACATTAGCACCAACTAATGTTGATGTCATTATTGGATTGAATGCTACCATGCAATGTCTTGCATCCCATGATCCTTCTTTAGACCTGACTTTTATTTGGCTCTTAAATGGATATCCAGTAGATGTTGATAAAGAGAGTGATTATTATGAAAGATCTATCATGGTAAGTTGCCTCATATTTCTCTGTTGACATATTTATATTTGGATGGTGTGATTATTTTTTCTTGGTATTTTGGGGAAAGGAGAAGAGGGAATGATTATTATGAAGTATTTCTTTTTTTCCCATATTACAGTTTACTGCAGAAGAAAGGAAAGTTACTGTCTAGAAGAAAAAGTTACTATCTCATGAGCCACAGTGTTATAACCTCCTATAAACTCATTGTTTGTAAATTCCTTAGTAGCACTCTAGCATCAAAACAAGTTATTCCAAAAGTTGCATATTTTCATGTCCGGACTTCAGGCAATATAGAATGTTGTCTATCCATAGCAACTTCTTTTGAAGTTCTTCTTGCAACTAAAAACAAAAAAACTGCACTTAGGTCACAGAATAAATCATTGATATAAATCAGCCCCACTATGATGAATCCAGCTTACTATGTTCTGTGTCAGACCACATATACTATTTATTTATTGCATTTATAGTATCTGGCATTTTTTGTTTAGGCAAAACCTTAGAGCATCCATTTCTTGCATTTTCATGGCTACTAAAGAACCTCTCAAAATGCTGCTTTGAGTACTCTATGACTGGATCCTTCGAACAGAGCCGCCCCATCTAGTGTGTTTATTTTGAGCCAAGATATTAAGATTCCCTTCACAAATGCATAAGAATGGGTGGGCAAGCAGATAGAGTTTCTTGTTTAGACACTCCCCACCCTGTGAAATACTGTGTCTCCAGAAATATGGATGACCTCCTCCCTAACAATGTTTCAGAGTCAAAAAGGAGTGCCTCACAGTTTTAAAGAGATAATTCTATGAATTATATTAAAGATTTAAATGTAAATGTTGCTTACTCGTAGCCTGGATTCTTTGATGTGTTTTTAGTGATAATCAGTTCTATGTGTGTCCATATAAACCACTGGGAGTCTATGTGGAACCATCATATACAAATAGCATAAATTAATTAAGAATCAAGCTATATATTATATTAATTAAAAAGTGCAATTTTCAGGACTATACATAGAAGGTAACCATTCTTTTCAACCACTTTTTTTTTTTTTTTGCAAAATCACTTCCCCATTTAACTTAACAGTTAAAAAAAAGGTAGGAAGCTTCCATTAGACCAGTGAAGCATTTTTCCTGACTATAGTGATCACAGGGAGGGAGTCCATTTTTGGAAATGAGCATTAAAATATTAATTCCATCTGCACAGTGGTTCCAGTGCAGATTTGAACCTGGGCTTAGACGTTGGGCAGGCAAATTTATTGTGATGGAATTTCAAGGGGGATTTTTTTTTTTTTTTGCAACATGTCTGCTGGACTTATGATAAGAACTAGAATTTCCCAAGATAGGAAAATAAATTATAACATAGAACATACTGTGTGTTATTGCGCGCACATGTGTGCTCACACAACACACCTCCCCTATATTATTAAATTAAGTTATCTTAAACTAAGGCAAAATAGTATGAGGAGAGGTGGAGAGGGAAAAATAAGTCAGAAAAATAAAAAAGACTGGAGGAGAGAAAAGGAGAAGAAAGATCTGTGGAGCAGAGACGAGAATCAGCTGTGGGGTGGAGAGGAGAGCTGACTGAGGGCAGCGCAACGACTGACAGAGAGGAGAAAGAGGCGAGCCAGTGATATAGTGGAGCAGGGAGGACAGCCAGCCAGGGAGAGGAGAGCTTACTGTGGACCATCCAGACAGCCCTGTTTGCTGGAGGAAACAGAACACTGGTGCGACAGACTAACAAATGAGAGCCATGTGGCTATGGAGCTGTCGGTGGGGGTTGTAGAACATTGCAGCACAGCAGACCAGTAGACCAGGTACTGCGAAGAACCGGATACCAGTAGTTCGGGTACTGCGAAGGACAGCACACCAGCAGACTGGGGACTGTGAATGCCAGCAGACCAGAAGACTGGGGACTGCAAATGGCAGCAGACCAGAAGACCGGGGACTATGAATGGTAACCACACAGCAGACTCATGGAAAAAGACACTATTGTGATCTGCAAAACATAGGACAGAAAAAAAAATAGGCATAATTACCTAGAGCAGAGAAGGTAGAAACAAGGTTAACAGCAAAGCACATCCACCGACAAAAAAGAGGGATTTTCAAACAATAAACTCATGAAGCAGGTAACTGATACTATTGTGGTATGCAGTACATGTTCCATGTATGTGCTTATGCCCAAAGAACACCCAAATTATACATGCATTAAATGTAAACTAGAGGAAAAAGTAAGGGACTTAGAGGCAACTCTAGCCAAACTCCAACCTACACAAGAAAGCTATACCCAAACAGAACCAAATAATGAATGAATAACTCCTGGAGGATTTAACCATATTGATAAACCCTTGGAGGAGGACAAATGGAGATATGTCACAAATAGAAGGAAACACAATAATCAAAGAAAGGAGCAGCATGCATCTATCAAACCCCTACTGTCCAATCTAACCCAACCAGAAGCAGCCCCATTAAAACTGAGCAATCAATTTCTCCCCCTAGGTGGAAATACGCAGACCCACAACCTCCCCTCAAAGAAAACATGCAGACACCTAGCAAAGAAACAACACCAAATATCTCTAAAAGAGTCACATCAACAAACACACCTGTGATAAACAGAAAAGCACCCCAGACTGCACCCCCCAAAAAAGGAAGGCGAGTGTTGGTAATAGGAGATTATATCTTCAAAGGAACAGAATCAGCCATCTGCAGACATACAATCCAGGGAGATATGTTGTCTCTCTGGAGCAAAAATCAAAGATGTGGCTGAGAACCTAACCAAAATAATTAGACCCACAGATTACTACCCTTTCCTCCTCCTTCACAGTGGGATGAATGACACAACAAAGAACCTGAGTGCAATACTGAGAGATTATAAGCAACTAGACAATAAAGTTAAGAGCTAGGAGCACAAGTAGTGTTCTTATTAGTATTCCCAATGAAAGACCAACCCTCATTGAGGGAAAAAAGAATTCTAGAAATAAATCACTGGCTAAAGAGTTGGTGTCACCAAGAAAACTTTGGTTTCCTGGACCATGGACTGCATTTCCTATGCGAAAAACTCTTGGCAAGGGATAGGCTGCACCTCACGAAAACAGGGAAAAATGTACTCGGAAAAAGATGGCCCAACTCATTAGAAGGGCTTTAACTAAAATTGAGGGGGAAGGATGACCAATCTTTAGAATCTCTAGAACACAAAACCAGTCATAAATCCCAAGAAAACAAATCAAACAATGAGGTAGAAAGTGATGAGAAAAAAAGATAAAACTCAAACAGCAATCAGAAGATCCAGGGAACATACCCACGGACAGACATAAAAGTCTTAAATGCTTATATACTAATACTCAAAGCTTCAGGAAAAAACAGGGTGAACTAGAAGCAATAGTACACGAGGGTAGGTATGACATAGTTGGCATTATAGAAACCTGGTGGGATGAAATCCATGACTGGAATGGACTGATAGATAGATACAAATTGTTCAAAAGAAATAGAACTATAAAAAGAGGTGGGCAAGTTGTACTATATGTAAGAGAATACTGTCATAGTTCTAACAGACAAAAAAAAAGTAAAGCAGAACTGCGAGGCCTGGAAATTCCTCAAAGAACATATTTATTAGTTACAGAGTATTGGCATGATCAAAAGGGAAACCAAGTCTGAAATTCCTACTAAAACCTCCCAATTACAGAGTATAATGTCCCACCCACAAAACTATGCCATCACTACGTTCCCAATATATTCATTTAGCGGGCTTTCTTATACGCCCAGTCCCTGATCGCGGGACCAGTAGATGACCTTGGTTCCCATGGAACAGAAGATTAATTTGACTAGCAAAGCACCTGGGCAAGCCCCCTCCCTCCATTCTGTGTGGCAAGTTAGAATGAGGAGAAAAATGGCTGCAGCCAGGTTCATTGTAGAGTTGACATTTGGTCTCCCTTAAAAAGAAAGAATCTCCTGTAGGGGAAACAAAAAGCATGTTAGGTATTTCTTCGAGGCTTGTGACAATGCTTGTTGTAAAATTTCTGTATTAATCTTTCTGCTTTCACATCTGTACATTTCACCCACACAGCTTCTGATAATGGATAGCCTTTCAAGATATTTTAACTTCCCCTTGTACAACCTAGAATCAAGAATTTGTTTTATCTCATAATGTGCTTCCCCCTCTACCACTATTGGACCCAGCGGTTTCTTTGGAATAGGTCTTAAAGAGGATTCAGAAACTGGCTTCAACAGACTACAATGGAAAACAGGGTGGAAAAGCCGTGGAAGCTTTAACTCCACGGCAACAGGATTTATGATTTTGGTGATGGGAAAAGGACCCAGAAACTTCAGCCCCAATTTTCTGTTGGTTAACCTTAACCTCAAATAATTGAAAGATAAACCTTTTCCCCCAACATAAAATGGTCTTTGAGGGGAGTTTTTCTTATCAGCCTGCTCCTTGTAAATCTTAGTGGCTTGGGCTAAGGCTTTCTTTACATTAGCCCAAACACTTAGGAAGGAGGCAATCCACTAATCCAAAGTTTGGGTGACAGGTAGCTCCTGGGGGTGGTAATACTAATAATACTAATACTACTAATACTACTACTACTAATAATAATAAGTTGGAAGGGAGCTTGGAGGTCATCTAGTCCAATGCCCTGCTCAGTCAGGAAACCCTATACCATTTGAGACAAGTGGCTGTCCAGTCTCTTCTTAAAAACTTCCAGTGTTGGAGCATTCACTGCTTCTGGAGGCAAGTTGTTCCACTGGTTAATTGCTCTCAGGTACTCAGGCATGGGCACAAAATCCCTCACGGTAATTATTTTAAATGGTATAAGACAGTATTATTATAGGCTACTTCAGCAAAAGGCAGAAGGTCTGCTCAATTAGTCTGCTGGTAATTAACATAGCTGTCATGGTTATGACAGATGAAACTCTTCAAAGAACTTCGAGGCATTGTTTACCTTAAAGAATCTTTATTCGAGTAGCATAGCATCAGCACATACATAAGCAAAGCCAAAATCTGAA